CTAGGAGGGATTGCTCCGATTAGAGAAAATTTCTAACATCTCTAAAACTTACTCCATAATAAAAAGAAAATTTATGGACAAACATAAAATCTGAGAAGAAAATCAACATCACCAAATATGCAAGGACTGAAAAAAGATTATGAATCCAAAGCATATCCCAGATACCTTCTATTGGGAATAGAAATAAGTAGCTCTTATATGCATCATGAGTTTTTAGCATACTAAATGCACTAAAATAAAACATTATTGTATTGAGATATCCTTGATGTTTAAGTGTAAAGGATTGGCTATATGAATCTTATATGATTTAAAAAAATCACAATTCTCTTTTCTGTGAATCTGATCAGTTATCAACCTGATATTCTAAATCATGATGAAATCAGAGGATGGGTAGTAAACATTTTATTTCAATAAATTTTCATTGTTATTAAACAAATTGTGGGGTAAAATGAACAATGGGCCAGTCTATAAATTGTGTGTAAAAGGAAATCAATATTTATATTCATGTTTGGGCAGACAAATCATTGGGAAAAAAATCTGGAAAATTTACCTAGGCTTTGGTATATAGACGATAGTCATCAAAATGTGTCAAATCTAATGTAAGATTGTTGTTTAATATGGAATATGAAATCAATGTAATCGATATGATTGAATTAAAATAAAACTTCTAAGAATATATTCTGTGCCTTTTTAAATGCAGCAAACCCAGTAATTGGTTTAAATGTAAAAATAAATTGCATCTACAGATCTCCTACCCGACCATGATGATGCTTTATTGGTTTCTGCATTTCACTAACTGATATGCTTTCATGTAAAATCAATACCTCCCAGTCTAATATATTTTGCATTGTTATTTTGTGGGTTCTGTAAGCTAAAATGTATTTTTGATGTATAACTCCAAATCTCTATTTTACAATAAAACTTGCCATGGGGAAAATTTAAAGGGGCACCATTTGTTTTCTAAATATGCAACAGCATCTTTCACATAATTGACAATTGTTTCAACGGAATGCTATCATTTCTAGTCTAAATCCCCATCTTTTAATTTAGCCCTAGGCCATACCTTTTAAAGAAATTGCCATCCATGAAATATCAGATGCTTCAACAGGGCCAGACTTGTGTACCTCCCTAGTAGAGCTGTGTGAAAAATTTCACACCTACGCTGAAACTGCCAAAATATGCTTCTTCACTCTTTTCAGTACCAAGGGGAAAACATATATTTTTCCCTTTGGGCAGTTTTGACAGTTTTAATACAAGTGAAAAGCAGGTTTTGCCAGCATCAAAAAGGGAAAGGGGAAGAAATCTTGAAATTATATGTGAGAACCTCATAGTCTTAGAGGGAGATGGAGGGGAGAGGAAAGTAAAAATCTCAGCTAATACTTAGATTTATCCAAGGAGGACCACATGGTTAGCAGCATTCAATTGCTTGCCGGCGAAGATCATGGCAAGTGAAGGAGGCCACATATTTTAAAGGTAAAGCCAATACTAAATAAAAATAATTAAAATTGGCAATAAAAATGTGAGCCTCCTGCAGCATTTTGCCTCAGAGTTAAATCCTAAGTAAAGCCAACTACTTGTAAGAGTCTATTCCACATTTCCAACCTGACTCCCTCCCCTCCCTTCGACCCTGGTTAGTGTCAATATTTAGAAATCTTCTTTGGCTTGAAGGGAAAGAAATAAAAATATAAAAGTCAACTAACATATCCCTGAGACATCTCATTGCCCTGTGGAAAATTACTCTTTCTCCTTCACTTTCTTGCTTTTAGAATTTTTGCGGAATCCTGTATCTCTATGAGAGAGAAAGAAGCTTTTTTGCTGAAATGTTTCTAAGTAGAAAATTGTTATTTATGGTGACCACGTTCCTCAATCACTGCAATCCCCAAACACTTAAAAGGTTTGCAAAAAGACAATAATAGGTCTAAAAAATACATATAGATGTAGCTCAGGGGATTCAGCCGAGCAGAGAATTCTTCTGGACTCATGAATTCCTATAGTGTTTTTACACTCTTTAGTCATGCTTTAAAACAATTGAACACCCAACGTAAACATCAAGTCAATGGAAAATCAAGTGTGCTGAACCGGTCTGCATCCACCCAAACTCATCTGGTAGAATACTATACTTTCAGAACATGTGGAATGAATTTTAAGTTGACTGTTATGTGAAGTCTGTACTACAAGCAGTTCAAAGCATTTACATAAAGATGCATCTTTTGTCACTTTGAAGATAGGGTTACTGTGTATTGAGAGACAAAAATTGATAGGTCTTTTACATGAAGAGGGGAAGTAGTTTTCATATTGTTTGGCTTTTGTAATAACCTTAGAAGAGAAGAACTTTGAGTTTCATATTTATACAATAATTTAGAGAAAAACTTCTGATGATTGCATTTTAGGATTGTCCTTTTGGATTATTTTATACTTTTCCATTAAATAATGCAAATAGTCATTTGAGTAAATGTTACTTTATCTTTTATCTACCTAATTGCCATAGACTTTTGAATTTATAAACTTATTAGTAACACGTAGGCATAAGATAAACAGAAGCTGTATCACATGTCAACATTTTGGGGGCGAGAGAGACAGAAAGAGAAACGTGTTTTACTGATTTTATAGTTTTAAAACATTGGACTTTTCCAATGATTTCACACTAGCCTTGTACCTTCATAGCTGAGGCCAACTTTCTCTCCTGAGGATTCCTTCTAAGAAATCATCTTCTGAAACACGGTTCTGGGAATTGGGGCTGGGCTGACAGTGCCTTGTCACCCAGTGGCGACTTCCATTGAGTTATCTCCTGTTACTCTCCTCTACTGAAGTTGGCCATCCAGTCCACCTGTGTGCCCCATGCCTGCAAATGCCAGCTCTTACCCAACACTGGTCCTGATGGCACCTGCACTGCCCCAGCACTGCTCTGCTAGGTGTCACCATTGGAACTGCCTCCACGATACTGCCTGGTCTGGAGACTCTGGAAGGTTGTACCCACTGACTCTGCACTGCTCTTTCCCCATCATGTCTTTTGGGTGAAAAATGTTTTTCCCTGAAAATTTTCCACTTTCTCTTTCCTGGAGACTGAGGTACATGTGCATAGGGGCTGAGATAGAAAAGTTGCATCAGTGGCCAACTCCACGTTATTCTCCGACTGATCCTTCCCTTAATGATGGAGGAAATGCTATGGGACTAAGGCTTCCTCCTAAGACAACTTCTTTTCCAGATGCCCCCTCTGTTCATCCTGACTCCCCCACCTGGACCCATACACCCAGGATACCAATATACTCTTGGCAAGTTGTGGCAGACCCTGCTAATTTTCTTCCACTATCCATTTGCTCCTTATTCATTTTAGTAATCGAATCTCTCCACCAATTTACCCCTGGATCTCAGCAAAACATGTGGTAAATGAGCTAGATGTTGTACTTCCCAGCTTCCCTTCTGGTGAGGGGTGACTAAGGCACTAAGGTCTTGTAATAGATTTAATAAGAAGTGACCTTTTAAGATTTTTACCTTAAAAACTATAATGCATACTCTTTACTCTCTCTCCTTACCTCTTCCTTCTGGCTGGGAAATGACAAGCACTGGAGCAGCTTCCTTGGGCCTAGGGGTGGAAGCCACATATTGGGGATGGGAAAGTAGACCCAGCAGCCTGGATACAATGGGTCCTGTGGAGAAAGTGAAGCCTCTAGCTCCAGACTGCTCATCTCTGTTATTGCTACCTAAGATGGAAATAGGCTTCTAATGTGTTTGTTCCACTCTATTTTTGAATATATATATATATGTATATTATAGCATTTTGATGTGTACTTTAACATATTAGGGTTGCAAAGAGGGGAGACATTCAATATATATTTTATTATATACCAGAAAGTATAGTAAATTAATGAACTCAATTTTCTTCTATATTTTGGCAGGAGAGGTTTGGAAGGAAATAATTGTACAATTACATCCCTGAAATGATAACAAAAGATGACTGGACACCTTTAGCATTGGGATTCATGTAGCTTGCAAATAAATTGAACCAGTATCTCAAGATGAAAAATAAGATTGAATGTGGCAATAGGCTGTATATGCAAGAACTTTGTGTATCATGAAGTGCTAGTTTCACTGTCATCATCATCATCGTCCTTTCACTGATGTATCCATTATTATTTGTGTATTAGCCTGCTCGGGGATCTGAAAAGAACATATTTCTGCTAGTATTTTTAATATACTTTAGTACATCAGACAATGGGATATTTTAATGCTGCCTTTATTCATTTTATATATATATATAATGAACCACCTGCATAAGGCCTCTGACAGAATATGCATTGCAAGTAAATACAGCAGTTATCCTACAGAAACTGACTTGAATTTTATTTGTGTTTGAACTCAGATGAACATTTTGCACAAGGCACTAAAACGTCTATGTCACTAAAGAGCAAATTCCACATTTCTTGAGCATTAAAGAGCAACTACACATTTGTTGATCTGTGTGGATGTGTACAGAACATACGTAAATAGAAAAATACACTGGGCAAATGAGGACACTGCTTATGAGAAGATTGGTGGAATGTGTTTTACAAAAGTCATAAGAAAAGGAATGACTGGCTTTAAGAGCGATCAAATGAGAGGACAAAGGTGTTTCTTTGGGGTTGGATTAGGTAGGAAATTCACATTTGTTTTTCCCACTTGAAATCTGTGGGAAGCATTTTTAATGTGGCTCCGAAACTGCCTAGTCTTTCTGTGAAGGTAACCGCTGAAGCCTGTGCAATGTTCATTGATCTAAGTGGATGGGTCTGAGGGGAAGGGCCTGTCAGCTGGGACGGCTTATCAGAAGAGAGTTGTTCTTCCCACCCGCCTTCTTGCTATTTATTCCTGAACCAGGGAAAATTCCCCTGGGAGCATCTGAGCCTCAGAGGGAGCATTGCAGAGACTCAAGAGATGAGAAACGGTTTGTAAATGAGCATTTAAAACATGAAAACACTCTTGTTTTTAAAGCCAATGAGTATAAAGTACCAGTGGGAGACGTGAGTTGACAGCTGGGAGTCTTCATCCGTCTGGCCGAGGGATTCTGAGTCAATCGCTGACGGATGAAAAGTAGGACTGGGAGAGCTTGGGCCTGTCAGAATCTGCTCAAAATTCCTGGGCTTGCCATTTCAAACCAAACGCAAACCTTCCAGAGCCTGAGATTAAAGAGAATGTTTACAGAAAAATAAAAGAGGCTTGAAAATGCTTATTAAGAGGCATCTTAGAAATCTTTATAAAGCGTCATCTGTGATGATTTATATGCAAATGAATCCGAATGTGCTTGGCATACATTATGTAGGGTTTTCAGATTTTATCAAATCCATGCTGATCGTAGAGAAAGAAATACACACACATAGAGCCACTAGAGAATTTGAAGCAAGGACTGCCTGTCCATTCCCGGTTTGCAGCAGGGCAGGCATAAGGAAGGATACATGAGTGATTTTTATTCAGTCGCTTCAGGACAGCGTTTGCTCCCAGGGCTGCGTTCTGAGCCCAGAGACAGCTCCAGAGGTTCCTGGGAGCATGAGATGCTCTCAGAACCTCAGGGTTGTATTTGAGAGGATTTGAACTGGAACTTACCCCTTGCCCAGAAGATTCCAGGGGCTACAGTCTTACTGCAGTTTCTTGGGGATCTGCACTGCTCCCACCAGGAGTTTCTTGGCTTCCTAGACGGCCTCTGGTAGGAAGTGACCTCTTTCAGTGGCAGGACCCAAACCGAGATCCTGAGCCCTTTGCTGATGATAGTCCGAATTACTAAATAGGTTTTCCAAGGGCAGGAAGTTGCCACAAGGTGGAAGATATAGATAAATGTAAGCAGAGACAAAAAGCTGCCACCAGGTCCTCAAGCTGCCATAACCAGGAAAGCCAATACATTATATAAAATGTTAAAATAGGACGCTTTGGGAAATTTATACAGCTACTGAGTTCCTACCTGATGCTAGGTGACTCATCATGGTCAGTGCAAGTACTATGGGTCCCAGAAATCACAACAACACAAAAGTGTGAGACAGTTTGTCAGGGAGTGGGGGAGGGGGTGTTGCTCTATCAAATAAAATCGTTGGCTTTGTGCACTACCACACATGGCATCCCCAGAGTATCATGTGGTCACTAGCCCCATCACTCTGGCCACAGATGAGCACAGCTGACAACCACAGGCTCAGTGGTTTTTCTGTTGTTCTCTCTCACAGTCTTCTCTAAAATCAGCAACTTTCCAAGCTTGGGGCCAAAACTGGCACTGAAGGAAAATACAAAGTAGGCAACAGTTTGCTTTGGATGCTGATTTCTCCTCTCCCCACCTAGCCTTCTGCACTCCTGTCGGCATCTGCTCTTCCTTCCTGCAAGGCTCCCCAAGTCCCAGGTGTAGTCCTTGCACTTAAAAATAGGAGTTGGCCAAGATGACTGCTAAGGTTTCTGTCCTCAACAAATAGTATTGCTATGTTTAAAAACAAATAAGCACCTATTCTACAATAACTTTGTTTCTTTTCTGTAAATCTTTAGTTTAACATTTTTTCATTGTGTAAGTCTGATTCTTAATGCAAAACGGAATTTTTCCCAGATTGTTCAAATGAAGAGACTTTTATGGAAGTGTCTCTTCCGGAGGTGTGGGCAGGCGTAAGGGAACAAATAGAGAATGATGAGAAACCCAGAAACCAGCAACAGGAGAATCGATTAACACCCCTTAGGCTGAAGGAGCCAGCAGGAAAATGGTATCACTGGAGCTCAGGAGAAAGTAGGAGCCATCGGTGGCTATACCTAGAGTGCCAAAGCAAGGAGGGAGTAGGGAAGAAATACCCAGACACGTTTTCCCGCTGGTGTTTCCCATGGACTGAACCCAGCCAGAAGTCCAAGGGCATTCTCTAGGCATCAGCCAACTGGGCAGCAAGTAGGGCAGAGGAGGGTACAGAGTGGGGTGGTGAGTGGGGTGGGATATGGAAGTAAAATTGGCACATTCATTGAATCCTTATCTTTTTCCTACAGCTTGATTAGGATGTTCCTTTCCAGTACCCTCTATTCTGCATTGGCCTTACATCATTCCAAGTTCTGGTTATAAGAATTCAGACAAGCTCAGTCTCAAAATTTCTTGTACATAACTATCACAGGAGCCTCCTGAATGTTAGTTTAAAAGGAAAGAAGCAGATATTAAATAATTGAAGTATTTTGCTCAATTTGATAGGTGTTAACTGGAAATGAGAGCACCTGAGCTGTATCTCTGGTTCTGCAGTTAACTAACTGGATAGCATTGGTCAAGTTACTTTGCCTTCCTAGATATTAGGTTTTTTACTTGTAAAATAAAAAGATTAGACTAGATAAGCTCTTAAGATATTTTCTTTGATTTCTATGAGCTTATAGTCTCATAATTTGAACAATTTTATTAGTTTATAAGTGGACTTTGGTATACTGGCATAGAGCATCTTACATAACCATAATAATAACAACAAATAATAATAAGCAATTAAATCACAGAGATGCTTAGAAAATAATTGGGTTAAGGTTCCATTTTCATTGCAGATTAATCAACATAATGAAAAAGGTTTTTAAATAACCAAGCTAACAAGTTTCTATAAAAATGTTCATATTGACCATAATAGTTAAGATGATCATATATCCTTGTTTGCCTGGGACATTTTCAGTTTGTTTGTTATCACTGAATAACTATTAATAGTTTCCCCTTTCACCAAAGAAGAATTATGGTTAGGCTGAAAAATTATATGGTCACTCTAATTATAATTATTTTTAAAAGGGAGGCTGTAGGTTAGTCATATGAATAAACATTTTTAAGACTGGAGATTAGAATATTGACATGCAATAAATAAAAATAACTATTGATAGAAACTGCATCACTTCAATTTCCATTCAGATATAATTTTGATAGGATCTAGACAGTTCAGGCATTGTTTGAAACCCTAGACTAACTATTTGACAGTTTTCCAAATGTGTTCTTTTTTCTCAGAAAAGAGTGAGAATCAGTTGGACAAGGTGTTATTCATATAGACCAATGTGAGTATTGCCCAGCAAGTATCAGGGCTTTTAACAGACATAGTTAACTAAAGAAAAACTATCATAAAGAGTGCGAAAGTCATTGGCAGAGAACATTTTGTAAGGGGACACCACACCTCTTATACCCGAGAGCACTATGGCTGTATATACCCTAGGGTTTAGCGACCTATAATTCAGTTGTGAAGCTGGAGTGACATCTACTGAAATGCTATTTCAGTTTATCACTAGGTTTATATATAAAAATTATTTTACTAATTGTTTATATGCAAAAATGTGTGAGAAACATATTTGGAAAATATCCTAAAATTTTCAAAAAATTATTTATTATTATTATATAATAATAAATACATTTTATTATATAAAATTATTATTTATTAATAATTCATCATTTTATTATCACTGCCATTGAAAGCCTTTCTCTTTGTTGATTATGGGAGTGTATTAAAACTTCTTAATTGATGTTTTAAAAATTCTATAACATATCAGCAATGAAAATTAGTTCCAAAATTGTATTAGAGCCTGAAGATATGCAATGTATTTGACTATTCTTTTCTCTTTTTTTATGCACATCTCATTTTGGTAGTTGTTCCCAACTATCATAAGCAAATTAGTGCTTATTTATTCTAACTCTCCTGGTACAAGAAGGGCCTAGAAAAAAATAATAGTGTACTGGATATAACTAAAATCCATTCACTCAGCAACTCATTCATTCATTCATTTGCTCAAGAAATATCTGTTGATGGTTTTGGTGGTGGTTTATATTGTTATTATCATTTAATATTATTAAATTATAGCATTTCCAATCTATAGCCTAGTATTCAAAATCATAGTAATTAATGACTAATACAATTCCATAACGTCTATGTATATCATTTTTCTTAAGCATTCTCTTATTGTTGGCAATTTATGCTGCATCTGGAGTTTTTCACAACTGTAGAGTTGTAATAAACATCTATACATAAAACATCTTGTATGTTGAAGATTATTTCCTTAGAACTAATCCTCGAGAGCTATTTCCTTTTAATTTTCTCAGAATTAGAATTCCTGGGTCAATGAGAATTAACATTATTAAGGCCCTTGATATGTGGACAAATTGCTTTAGAAACTAGCCATATCAAGGTATGTTACAAGTAGCAAGATGTCAGTTTAGCTTTATAAATAAAAATTGCTACTTTCATTATGGACAAGACAAGTAAAATGGAAAATAGCAATAAAATCTGAGTACAGGGCAACAGAAATCAACCTTTATTCTTGAAGATGTTAAATACACATTTTTGTCAAGATAAAAAAAATACCCTCTGAGCCTTCCAGTTGGAAAATTTGTTTTTTAAAGTGTATTTTCTTGTGAATTTACAAAATGAAAAGAAAAAAAATCAGTTTTAATGTGTTACAAAAAATGTAAATATCTGTCAAATAGATTAAATGCTTTCAGGTAAGGAATTAGATCTATGCTTCTAAATTGTAGAAAATAAAGGGAAAATAATATTGTATGTGAAAATTTCCTTCCTTCATAGCTTGTGGATGAATTTTTTGAAATCTATTTTTAAAAATAGTAGAAGATTGATATTTACCAGCTAATAAATTCAAAAGCATATAACTGGACTTGCCCCCATACTTGTATAACTTTATATATCTACCCGTAGTTCAAACTGACTAGAAACAAGTTTTATCTCAGCCTTGTGTTTAGACTACTTTCCATATTGAAGACAGCAATACTCATTAACTTTTCCATACTGCTTTCATTGAAGCAGCAATTCCAGTTAATGTACAAAACTTTACAATAGGTGTTTATTTAGTATGCTGAGTAATAATCTGACATCCCTTGGCTTCCTGATGGGGTCTTTGATGTTCCCAAATGAAGTTTGATCCAATTTACATCTGTATTACTATTTATGGAACCATAATTCTGGGAAATCTCCTATCCCTAAAACACACACACAGAGAAAACCATACACATCAAAAACTTTAATACAAAACAAACATTCTTTAAAAAAGACTGGGAAAAGAGTACCAACTGATTATCTTCAAGACCTTGTTACCAATAAGAGAGAACCTAACAATCTATTTTATGATCTAGCACACACATATACAGACACAAAAACTCACATCTCACTTTCATACATATACAAACTGTAGTCAAAATTGCTTTAGCAAAAACTGAAATATATGAGGTCTTCTAAAAAATTGCCATAATGGAACAAATTAAAATTATAGCTCTCATATTTATAATTGTTAATTACATAAAATTCTCAAATTATAACATATCAAATTTTTAAATTTATTTAGAAGAAAAGGCAAATGTATTATCAGGATCCAAAAAATTTGATTACTTATAAGGCTTTGCAATGTAAGATCCATATTGAATATTTTGATGATAGATTTATCATTCAAGTAATTATTGGGTAGGCTTAATATTTTTATGTGTAGGAAACATATTTAGTAAATCTTATTGTATTTAGTATAAGAAACAGAGAAGAGAGTCTTCAAAGATGGAAGCTTACATTATATTTATAGTCTGTTGTTTAGAAACCAATGATTTTTTCTTCTGGGCATTTGACATTGTATTCTACTCCCGACTTCCATGATATATCACTCTCCTGACCTTAATTCTCTGTCCTCTGATTACTCTCTGCCATGAGAGTTGGTGACTCCTAAGCATATTTACAGAATTCCATCTTTTTTTTTTTGCTTTAGGGAATTCATCTACTTATAAGAAACACTTTACCATCCTTATTTTCTCTGCATTCAGCTTGATAACACATCTTCTTGCAGATATGAAGCTTTACTTGTCAACTGAAAAGTTCATTTAGATTAGCTACCAAAACCTAAAGGTGGACATGTCAGAAACTAAAGTCGGCATTTTTTTCTACTCTACAACTTGCCATTCCTTCATAATTTCTCATTATTTTTAAATTTGTTATCATCTTTTTTTTTTTTTGCTTCCCATTGAAACCGTGCAGTCATTTTCTATTGTCTTCTTCTTAACATCTTCTTCCTAACATCTGTTGTCTTCTTCGTCTTAACATGCACTAGATATAAAAGAGACCCACACCTTCTTTCCATCTCCACATTGTTCACTACAAATTAGGCCCAACTATTATAGTAATAATTCCAAAAGTAGATAATCACACAGCTTTTAACTTTAGACAAGTGTCTGTGAACTGTCTTTCTCTGTTGACTTTTGTGCTTGTAATATCACATCTAAATGACACAGTCTGGCCCTGTCAAATTGTTGCTTCACTGTGGTTCAGGTTAAGTTTTGCTGTCTAATACATGTAAGTTGTGTTTATCTTTTGCATATTAAATGTTCTTCTTCCCAAATATATGCCTTCTCTTCCCCAATCCAAATGTATTCTCTAATTAACTCCATTCCATCCTTGGTTTGCCTTGTTTTCAGTTTCATTCAGCTTAAATGACTTTGTAAACTGAAACTTCCAAATTGGACTGTAATCTCCTCTAGTTCTTTCTCACATAGAACAATGCTTTCCAGGTTCACCTACTCTTTACTCAATCAACACCGTAGTTGACTAAACCAAACCTTGCCTTTGTATTTTTAATGGGGAAAGGAAAGTTTTTAATAGTGCCATAGATAACATCAAAAATATTAGAATCCATAGTGGGTCCCTTCCCTCCTGCAAAAACATGAATATCTGAGAGTGCAATGAGAAAACATTAAAATGTTTATAGCAGCCATCTGCAGAAAATCATGTAAGAGACTGTTCGTAATATGTGATTGAAAAGCCTTAAGAATGCCCAAGCCCAATCTGGGTAATGAGAGTACAACCTCAACTTTAGATTAGAAAATGTAATGAATTTAGAAATCAGTAAGGAATCAATTATGTTAAGACCTATCTAAAGAAAGGTAGTAGCACAAGTGAGTTGGACCAAAAGGAGTCTATAAAAGATAAGTTGCAGAATAGGAACTTTGTCAACATGGTTAAAAGGAGAGAGATTCTGAATCTGGGAGGTTAGGAGCCTTCTCAGGAAGGAATCATTCTCTACACTCTTGCATGGCATTGATAAAATGTCACTTAGAATTTTCCTGGTCTCTGATCTCGTGGACTGGATAGTCTCCCTTTGCCCCTCTGGGTCCAGTCTCCACCTTCTCTGCCTTGCCCTGTGCCCCAGGAGGCTGCCCTCCTCAGACTGTTTGTTAGGGCTCCCTCAAACTAAAGCCAGTGTGATAGGAGAATAGTACCCCAGAAGAAGGTTGGCGGGCAGGAGGAGAAGTCAGAAGGGGCTCTTGGGCACAGTAATATATCAGAGTGCTTTCCCCTACCTAAAGCCACATCTTCTGTCAAGTAGCCTCTTTTCCAGGACTACAGCTCTCACCAGATTCTGGTCACAGCTATCCGCCCCTGCCCTTTAAGCCATGCACTGGGAATACTTGCTATTGTGTTACTGCGTTGTGACTTCTTGGGTGTTTCTTCATTCCATCATCATCCCTAAATCCTGATCACACCTGTCTAAATAGACCTTTAACTATGCTCTTTACTTATCTCCTTTGTATGCGCTATCTGCATCTTCCAAAGGCCCTGATACATACCATGACCACCTATTGGTTGCTTTTTAGCTTCTTCTGAACTGTGATACTGAAATCGGGAACAGAAAGAAAGATCTTCTACTCAATAGTTGTGTGTATATGTGCTCATGTATGCACACTTAATATATCTGTGATGTGTTTGTCTCCCTTATTGTTAAAGAACTAGCTTTCATTTTAACTTAAAAATCAGTCTCTATATGTATATGAGAGAGGACCTGTTTCAAGATTACAGAAGCTTGATTGGCAAGGATATGGACAGCAAACACAAGTGTAGAAGGATGCATGGACAGGGAATCAACGGAGAAGAGGACCAAGAAGGAAAAATTCAAGTTTTACTTCACCAGGTATTTTCATCCAGGGATCCTGGAGCAACACTCTCCCCCCACGGACACACTTTCAGGAAGCAGAGCAGTGAGGAGAGGTTAACTACAGATTTTTATAAAGTCGATGTTTCACTTCAGCTGCATTATTAAGAGTGACAGAGACATTGCAAAAGTTTCAGATGGGAGCCAATTGTGGCTCATGAATAAAAATAAGGAATGATCAATTATGAATATTTGCATGACAGAAAAAAAAAGATCTCAGAAAGGGAGGAGACTATTTCCATGTCCAGACAGTTCAGTCCTGTCTAACTCAGCACCCAATTTATATGTTGAATTCTAACCTGAGTATATGTTTAGTCAAGTATTGCAGGATTAAAAAAAAAATTCTCCTGACCCACAGAAATTTGATTCATGGTATCCTGATGGAGTGGGGCTGGCTGTACAGAACCCTGCGTTTATGAAAGGATGTTCTGTGTGCACTGGCCTTAGTCCATTTCACCACCATTTTGCTAAACTTACCACAAGCTGAAGCTAAACCTCTCAGTGCTGCTTTTTGGATACAGCCTGAACACTTACCTAGCAGACAAGTCTTTCCAGAGTTTTTGCTGAAATGCAATTTTTCTTTGCCTCTTTATCTTCCACATATGAATTGTCAGCACTAGCTAAACTCAACTACTCAGGCCTCTTGCTTTTCAACCTCTTATCATTTGATCAAGTTGCGGCTTTTGCTGTAACGCTCACCACCTTGGGCCCATCTAAGTTCTCCACTTCCTCCAGGAGGCCTTTCCTGTTTCTCCAGCTAGAAGTAACATCTTCTTCTTCATCTGAAAGTATTTAGTGTATACGAGTTATTTCAAACCCGTCTTCCACTTTTCTTCACACCAGTTACTTTGGCAATATGTTTGTAAGTTGTCCCCCAAACTATATTATTGTGTCTTCATGGCAACAAGCATTCATAACAGGGTGTCCTACTTAGCCCCTTGTGCTTTGAGAAAGAATCTAACTTGGACATGGGTTAATGATGCCTACTAACTTTAAGTTTGATTTATGTAATAAATATTAAAAATTTTTATTCTTCACAGTGTGAAAAAATATTAAAATATACACAGTCACAGTTTTACCACTATCCCCCTTGCACAGGAAGAGAGTATTACAGACAATAGGTAAGAATGCAGTTTTGCCTCAGTTTGCATCCAGGTTTCACTGATTACTTACTGTCTGACCTTGCCTCAATGTCATTATCTACTTAGAATACAGAGATGATATCATTATCTATTCCTTAGGACTGTTGGGATTGGATTAAAATAAGAGTGCATAGCATAGAATAAGTGCCTAAACTTTTAGCTGTCACTATTAGTGCTTTCCAAAACTTTGTGGTGATGATGAAAGTAATAGATTGGAAGAAGAGGAGGATGGAAAGAAACTAAGAAAGGCTAAATTCATTTATATGTATTTGGATTAGGATACAATTAATATAACATAGCATTCACCATTTTAAGCATTTTAAAATGTATAGTTCAGTCACTTTTAGTATATCTATAATGTTATTTGCCCATTATACAATGACAGTTTCACAATTTTTTCCTCACCCCCAAATGTAACCCAATACCCATTTAGCAGGCAATCTCTAGCCCCAGCTTCAGCCCCTGGCAACCACTGATCTGCTTTCTGTCTTTATGGCTATGGCTATTCTATATATTTCATTTAAACGGAATTATACAATATGTGGTCCTTTTTGGGTGACTTCTTTCACTTAGTGAAATGCTTACAAGCTTTATTTATATTGTAACATGTATCAGTACTTCATTCCTAATTATAGCTGAATAATATTTCATTGTATAGATCCACAATATTTTGTCTATCCATTAATCAGTTGATGGACATTTGAGTTGTTTCTACCCTAAAAAATAACAACTGGATAGGGTGGTGTCAGAACAAGTAAATTATGTTTTGGCTATTGTGTTTTTCCATCCTTTTTTTCACCACCAACCTATTTGTGTCTTTGGATCTAATGTAAATCTCTTACAGATACAATGTAGCTGGATTGTGTGTTAAATCCAATCTGACAATCTTTGCCTTTTAATTGGAGAGTTTAATCCATTTACATTTAATATTATTACTGATAAGGAAATACTTTTGCCATTTAGCTATTTGTTTTCTACATGTCTTATATCTTTTTCATTCCAAAATTTCTTGATTACTGCCTCTTTCTATGTTTAATTAAGTTTTCTATTGTGCCATTGTAATTACCTTCTCATTTCTTTCACTGCTTATTTTGTAGTTATTTTCTTAGCGGTTACTGTAGGAAATACAATTATCATATTAATCTATAATAATCTAGTTCAAATTAATACCAATTTAGTTTCAATAATACAGACTTTATTTTATTGCCCTTTGCTTTATTTTGCTTTGCAGATATTACCTGCTTTACAAATTGAAAGGTTTGTGGCTACCTTGTATCAAGCAAATCTGTTGACACCATTTTCAACATTATATGCTTTCTTTGTGTTTTTGTGTCACATTTTGGGAATTCTCACAATGTTTCACCATTTTTCCAGTATTATCATGTCTGTTATGGTGATTGGTGTTCAGCAATCCTTGGTGTTACTATTGTAACTGTTTTGGGGTGCCAAAATTGGGGTGACATTGGAGTGCCCATGTAAAAAAGCAAATTTAATCAATAAATTGTGTGTGTTCTGACTGCTCCCCTGGCTGGTGGTTGTTCTTCCATCTTTCTTCCTCTCCTTGGGCTTCCCTATTTCCTGAGACACAACAATATTAAAATTAGGCCTATTAATAACCCTACAATGTCCTCTAAGTGTTCAAGTGAAAACAAGAGCTTCATATACAGGATGATAGCAGGTCAAGTTAAACACTACAGTCTCTCACTTTAAATCAAAACCTAGAAATGATTAAGATTAGTGAGGAAGGCATGGTGAAAGCCAAGATAGGCTGAAAGCTAGGCTTCTCATACCAAACAGTTAGCCAAGATGTGAATGCAAAGAAAAAGTTCTTGAAAGAAATTAAAAATACTACTCTAGTAAATACACAAATAAGAAATTGAAACAGCCTTATTGCTAGTATGGAGAAAGTTTTAGTGATCTGTATAGAGGATCAAACTGACCAAAACATTCCCTTCAGCCAAAGCCTAATCCAGAGCAAGGTTTCAATTCTATGAAGGTTGAGAGAGGGAAGGAAGTTTGAATCTAGCAGTGGTTAGTTTATGAGGTTTAGGTAAAGAAGCCATCTTCATAACATAAAAGTGTAAGGTGGTGCAGCAACTGCTGATATAGAGGCTGCAGAAAGTGATCCAGAATGTCTAACTGAGATCATGGATGAAGGTGTCTACAATAGACAACAGATTTTCAGTGGAGATGAAATAGCCTTCTATTGGAAAAATATATCATTAAATACTTTCATAGCTAGAAAGGGATAGTCAATGCCTGACTTCAAAGCTTCAAATGGCAGGCTGACTCTCTTATTAGGGATAAATGCAGCTGGTGACTTTCAGTTCTAGCCAATGCTCATTTGCCATCTCCTAAATCCTAGGGCCCTTAATAATAGGCTAAATCTACTCTGCCTATGCTCTATAAGTGGAATAACAAAGCCTGGAGGATAGCTCATCTGTTTATAGCATGCTTTGCTTAATATTGTAGTCCTACTATTGAGAACTACTGCTTAGGAAAAGATTCCTTTCAAAATATTACAGCTCATTGACAATACACCTAGCCACCCAAGAGCTTTGATGGAGATGTACAAGGAGATGAATGTTGTTTTCATGCTTGCTAACATAACATCGATTCTGCAGCTCATGAATTAAGGAGTAACTTTGATCTTCAATCTTAATATTTAAGAAACACATATTATAAGGCAATAGCTGCCATAGATAGTAATTCCCCTGATGGATCTGAGTAAAGTAAACTGAGAACCTTTTGCAAATAATTCAACATTCTAGATGCTACTAAGAACATTCATGGTTTATGGGAGGAGGTCAAAATATCAACACTAACAGGAGTTTGGAAAAAGTTGATTCCAACCCTCCTGGATGACTTTGAGGGGATCAGACTTCGGTGGAAAAGTAACCAAAGATGTGGTGGGAATAGCAAGAGAACTAGAATTAGGAGTGGGGCCTGATGATGTTATTGATTCTAAAATTTTATAATAAAACTTTAATGGATGAGTTCAACATAGTGCTGGAAGTCCTTGCTATAGCAATCAGACAAGAGAGCAGAATTAAGAACATTCAAATGGGGGCAGAAGAGATCAAACTCTCAATCTTTGCTGATGATATGATATTATATCTAGAACACCCCAAAGATTCAACCAAGAGACTCCTTGAATTGATAAATGAATTTGGTAAAGTCTCAGGATACAAAATCAATACACACAAATCAGAGGTATTCATATATGCCAATAACGGTCAAACTGAGAACCAAATCAAAGACTCAATTCCCTTCACAATAGCAACAAAGAAAATCAAGTACCTAGAAATATATTTAACAAAGGAGGTAAAAGACCTGTGCAGGGAGAACAATAAAACACGGAGGAAGGAAATAGCAGAGGATGTAAACAGGTGGAAAAACATACCATGCTCATGGGTTGGCAGAATCAACATTGTAAAAATGTCTATACTACCCAAACTGATCTACAGAGTCAATGCAATCCCTATTAAAATACCATTGTCATTTTTCACAGATATAGAAAAAATAATTTTATGCTACGTATGGAATCAGAGAAGACCCCATATAGCAAAAACAATCCTAGGCAATAAAAACAAAATGGGAGGTATCAATTTATCAGATTTAAAATTATACTAGAAGGCTATAGTAATTAAAACATCTGATTACTGGCACAAGAACAGGGACATTTACCAGTGGAACAGAACAGAGAACCCAGATATAAAACCATCCTCATATAGCCATCTAATCTTTGACAAAGCAGACAAAAGCATACACTGGGGAAAAGAATCCTTATTCAATAAATGGTGCTAGGAAAACTGGATAGCCACACGTAGAAGACTGAAACAGGATCCACACCTTTCACCTCTCACAAAAATCAACTCGTGCTGGGTAACAGACTTAAACTTAAGGTGTGAAACTATTGGAATTCTAGAGGAAAACATTGGAAATACTCTTCTAGACATTGGCCGAGGTGAAGAATTTATGAAGAAGACCCCAAAGGCAATCACGGTAACAACAAAAATAAATATATGGGACCTGATCAAATTAAAAAGCTTCCTCACAGCCAAAGAAACTGTCATGAGAGCAAACGGACAACCTACAGAATAGGAGAAAATATTAGCATGTTTCATATCTGATAAAGAGCTGATAACTAGAGCTGGAACCCATTCTACTAAGTGAAATATCCCAAGAATGGACAAATAAGCACCACATGTACTCACCAGCAAATTGGTATTAACTGATCAACACCTAAGTGGACACATAGGACTAACATTTATCGGGCATCGGGCAGATGGGAGGGGGGAGGAGGAGATGGGTATATACATACGTAATGAGTGAGATGCACCATCTGGGGGATGGACACCCTTGAAGCTCTGACTCCAGGGCGGAGGAAGGCAACACACATAACCTAAACATTTGTAGCCCCATAATATGCTGAAAC